ATTGTGAATGTAGAGCCCATAAGATTTGCTGAGAGATGGGAAATGAGGGTCAGAAAGGACAGGAAACAAAGGAAGACCCTTCGATCTAGATTTTTGGGTGAATTTGGGGGAAGTCCTAGGAAAGGAGTGAGGAAGGGTGTGTGTGTAGTGGTGAGCCCGGGTTAAGTCTGAGATCCGATCAGGCACCTTGGTGGAGATGAAGAGGGCTGGCCACAGGATTTGGGATTCAGGGGAGAGATCCAACGTGGAGAAAATGCTTTGAGACTCCTCAATAACAGGGACAGTGGTGTTTGTGAAAATTTGGGGACATTCTCCAGTAACTTCTCTCAGTGTTGTCATGATAATAGTATTGATGGAAGAAGTGAGAGCTAAAATTTACCATGTGCTTCAAAAGTGGCAGGCACTGGGCTAGGTACTTTATGTGCATGATCTCATTTAATCTTCACACTTCCTTGATATCCCAGTTTTACAGGTGAAGGAAACTGAGGCTCAGAGAGGTGATGAGTCACGGTTTATTTTTAGAGAATTACTTCATTGCAAGCTGTTGCAGACAGCCTGCTCTCCAAGACCATGCTACGCTGCCTTCACACCCGACCAGTCTTTGACTAAGGAATCCTTCCTTCATCAGCCTTGCGTTGTGCACATTCAACAGCTGGGTGTTGTGAAAAGAATAATGGAGGGCTTGACCTGGGGGGACATGGGTGCAAGGCCTGCCTCTGTTATTTACTGGAAGCTTTGTTTTGGGAGAACTGATGTCTGAAGTTCACAGAATGTCTTCCAGGCAAAGTTTATTCATGGCTGCTGTCTTGGCTTTGCTATCCACTCCTTCTCCAGTCACCAGCAGCTTCTGGCAGCCCAACCTCCCCTAGCCAACTTCATTTCCTGGTTGTGCCAGCCTGATTACTTCTAATTGTCTTTGACTGCTTCCAGCTGGGTCTCCTAGCTGGCATTCTGTGGGAGCTCACAGATAGTCTCCCAACCATCTGGAGGGAGAAGATGGAAAAGGAGAAGGGGAGGAAGGAAGCAGCTGGTATAAGTCAGCGGAGAAAAGCTTTCCAGGGCTTTCCTGTCCACTGTGATTGGTAATATTTTTTAAAGGGTTAACTCATCCAAGTTAGAGAATGCCCTATCTTTTTTTTTTTTTAAGATTTTTATTGGGGAATTGGGGGGATGGGAACAGCGCTGGGGAATTGGGGAAGGGGAACACAAGTTGCTGTCGTTTTGTTCTTCAGTCTAGCTGTGGAGGACGTTGCTTCACTGGCCCAAGTTGGCACCATTGTTGCACTCTTCCCGGGCGAGGCAGATCAGTCGCCGGCTTCTGGACAGCCGCTCACGCTGGCTGCTGGCTACACACGGTAGCCCATGGCAACCCACTGCAGCAGGGGCTGCAGCCTAGCCATCGCCGGCAACTCACG